TTTTAAATACAGTAAAAGGCCACCTTACTGACCATAATTGTTTGTATTTGTACTTATAGCTTATTCAGTATGCAAATCAAACATGCTAACTTCATGTGCTGTGCTACCCATATAATAATGTGGAATGATAAGACTCCAGTAAGAAGCCCTATGTGCTGTGCTGTTTATTGAACTCTTGTTTTTAACAAATTTACCATAATAAATACAAAATACACCCTTCTCTAAATATAAGCTTCCAGATGCCTTCTGCAACAGAAGTTTCCCAGAGTTTTTAAAGAGTAAACAGCCTCTCATGAGAACGGCAGAATCAGGAAACACTCCTTTTGACATATAATCATATGAGCCAGTTTCTTTCTCTCATTTGTTAATGATACAAAAGGCACTTTGCAAAAACAGTTTACTACACTAAAAAGAAATATTGGCAAAATAATTAATTTCTACTGGTCTTGCATTTTAGCAACTAGAAACAAGACATAACTAGCAGCATGTAACCGACCAATTCTCCACAGATTACCAGCAAAACCTACATGTTTTAAGAAATACCCTGATTTATGTAGCCTGTTCTTTAAAATTATTTCTGAACATAATAGATGTAAAAGAAAGAAGAAAAGATACACAAAGCTGAACAATGGGATAATAAGCCTGTGATTAACTAGGCAACGTAAAAGTGAATCCATGGGAGGAGAGCATTAAGTCTTCCTAAATACACTGATCAATAGTCAATTGTTTTTAATATTACTCTATTTACACCACTTCACAGATATGGCTTAAGGCATTTTATTCAGCTTTAGGGGCTCTCCATTTTGTGTTGAAATGAATGAGACATTTCAGAAACATTTATTTTGTAAGTATTTCTACAGGTACGTGAAGCTACAGTTTTTATGCAGGGTATTTTCTTACAACATGCCACAGAGATGACCACTATACTGTATCAGCTGATACCAAAATAATAAGGTATCTTCCAGTTGCGAGGCTCAATGTCAAATACAATGCAAATTCAAGAGGCAAACTGTTCCCCATGTAGTAAGAAGCTGTAGATAGCTTTAACAAGTGACTAATTCAAGCATCTATCCTTCATTTGGTGTGAAACTTACCTCTGAAATCCAATCAACAGATTTTGCATTTACTGTCGTTGCGACAGAAGTCAGTGGCCTTAAAATGTTTTCACCTCTCAGAAGTTGTTAAGGTTTAAGCAAAAACGTCTGTTTAAGCAAAATCTTTACATCATAATAACTAACCCAAGTCTGTTACTCTCGAAAACAGACACACAAGTCTTCAGTAATTTGAAGAGCTGCCTACCAGCAAGAAATTCACACCCTTGAGGCAGAAGCCCCACATCAGACATAGTAGTTCTAAAGGAAATTCAGACCTAGACGTGCCCAAAACAAAAAACAAGACAGCCCTGTCCTTCAACTGGGAAGACTCACACTCCTGGATTTGGCCATGTGAGGTGTCGGAGGACTAACTTTGTAGAGGGAGCTGAATTATGACCTTAAAGTGTAGACAGAAAGGAAGGAAGATCAGACCCTTGAATACTCAGGATACGTCATAACAAGTAAATCAAACACTGAACTCACATTCCTATTTTAGCCATCAATTTTTTTTTTTTTAATAATTACACTTTCCTTGCAAATTTAGTAGTGATTCAAATGCAAAACTCATGCTTGTTAGTATCTAAATATATGATACCCTGGGCTTAACAGCTAGTATGACGACAAATAATTTTGTAGGCTTAGATTTTCCTTTTCTGTGTTGTTGGACATTGTTTTAAATTTTATATAGAACATTTAGCTTGTCCTTCTAGTTCTAGACTAACTACACCACTAGGCACAGTATAACATAGACCACGTAAAAATATAAAACAGCTCTCGAAAACAGACACACAAGTCTTCAGTAATTTGAAGAGCTGCCTACCAGCAAGAAATTCACACCCTTGAGGCAGAAGCCCCACATCAGACATAGTAGTTCTAAAGGAAATTCAGACCTAGACGTGCCCAAAACAAAAAACAAGACAGCCCTGTCCTTCAACTGAGAAGACTCACACTCCTGGATTTGGCCATGTGAGGTGTCGGAGGACTAACTTTGTAGAGGGAGCTGAATTATGTCCTTAAAGTGTAGACAGAAAGGAAGGAAGATCAGACCCTTGAATACTCAGGATACGTCATAACAAGTAAATCAAACACTGAACTCACATTCCTATTTTAGCCATCAATTTTTTTTTTTTTAATAATTACACTTTCCTTGCAAATTTAGTAGTGATTCAAATGCAAAACTCATGCTTGTTAGTATCTAAATATATGATACCCTGGGCTTAACAGCTAGTATGACGACAAATAATTTTGTAGGCTTAGATTTTCCTTTTCTGTGTTGTTGGACATTGTTTTAAATTTTATATAGAACATTTAGCTTGTCCTTCTAGTTCTAGACTAACTACACCACTAGGCACAGTATAACATAGACCACGTAAAAATATAAAACAGCTTCACAGTAGTAACACGACTGCATCACTTGTTCCATTAACATAATGGGAACTGGAGAGAAACTACAAACTTAGTAACAGGTTTAGCAATATATTCCTGATTTTTGTTTTAAATCAACATATTCATGCTTGAATGATTAATGAGCAAGTGGCATCCTGTTTCCATAGAGGATGCAATTTTGAACATCTTCCAGTACAGGATTAGATCAACTTTAACTGCTTTTAAAAACTGTCCACCATTTCTTGGACTTATGTATGCTACAAAAGACTTATGTAACACACAAAATAGTCATCTTAGCCAGTTTTTCCCCTTTCATGTACCATAAAAGACAACTGTTGTGATTTTCTATGCTGTATCAAAAATAAATAAAAAAGATGGCTAAAGCATTACATTTGATATATATCAAGTCATGCAGTACCACAGAATGGCCTTTGTGAGATGAAAGGGTTAATTGCTGCTTTTATTTACACCCAAGTAACTTTAATGAGAGTGAATACTGCAGCAACATCTATAAATACAACGATGACATTAGCAGAACACCAGTTATGAAACCCCTGCCAACACTGCTGTACAGGTTTTGTTTTAAACAAGATATAAAAATCTTACCAAGTTCTGCTGTTTGGGGTATCTGCAGAGCCCTGCAAAAAATCTGTAAGACTAGGCAGCTTTAAAGAATGTAACACGCAGTAGTAACCATGACAATAAGAAAAATGCTTTTGCTGATATTTTTTCTTTCAGATGACAATACTTCCAAATGCTAGTGTTTTTCCACTGTATTACAACTTTTGTTTGCTGCTCCCTGTGAACCTAGGCCTCCAATCCTTGCAAACCTGAAGCTTCTGACAAAGTGAATAGCAATTTGGGGTGCACTAGTAACACAGAATGGGTCCTAACCAGTCCACCAGCATATTAAGTGACTTGTGGTAGGATGGACGTCACTTGTTGGCAACTATGTCTTATTTCATTGTTGCACAGAATAGGTAGAAAGAAAAAATTATCACATTTTTAAGATCATTACTTTGCAAGTAAATGGGGAATCTAAGAAATAACAGAAAGGCAGAGTGTACATAGGGTATTTCTATGGAGATCATAAAACTGCTGAGGTAGGTTAGAATTTGGCCCTCAGCAGGCTGACCATAAACTTTAAGAAAACAGCCTGGAACTCCTCTGCATTCATTTTGTCTTGGTTTTGTGTTAAGTTGGGGTTTTTAAGCAATAAAAAATAAAATAAAGATTCTTCAGAAATTAATCTTTGTTCTCTACTATTTCTCCAACAGACTTGCTCACCAAACTAGGATAATGCTTTCCAAAGACGTATGTGAGTTGGATCTGAAGTCACATTTTGAAAAGTGACTAAAGGGCTGATTTTCAAAGGCATTAAGATACCTAAAGATGCATTAAGCACTTAGAATTTTTAAAACTGCCTGGGCATCTAACGCCTATTTAAATCACTTAGTCCTTTCTGAAAATCCCAATGGGCAGTTATCTACATTTTATGTGTCTATGTGCCTTTGAAACTCTGTACCATTAAATACTTAACAACCTAAGTCCCCCTGGCTTTTAGTGAGACTTAGGGTCCTAAAAAGTGTAAGTACTTCTGAAAATTGGTTAAGCCACTCTCTCTGGTCTTTTCTCCTTTCTTTTAAAAAGCCATCTACTAATGCTTATCTATAGCATGTCAGTTAACTACAGCTTCAACACTGTCAGACTTCCACATTATACTGTGCACATTCGATTTTTTTATGTAACTAAGTAAACAAAGGTCCCGAGTACAGACTGCGACCTCATAAGACTTTCTGCAACCCCGAAAAAGAAAATCCATTCCAACCTGTAACCCCTGTGAATGCCCCAAAATCATTATTTCAATAAATATGATCCAAAATGAGTATAATTTAGGCTGATAAAAAACAAACAGCTTAGTTTAATTACCGAGCAACATATTCAAATTACTACAAACAAGTTCTGAAAGACAGCCACACAGAAACAAAAACCGTTCAGAGAAAAACTAGAAAGAGAAGGAAGTTGTGAATCAGCTCTTTAAACAGGCAGTAGTTCCAGAAAAGAAGACAAGCCTTAATTCTGAAAGGGGTTTCTTTTTTAAACAAAAATGAAACTATAAAGCATTCCCTTATGCAAACATTTGAAAGATTTATCTTCTGATCTTCTTTAATGTCAATGGGAGGTAACTTGCACTGACCGCATTCCCAAAAAGGAACTGATTTGTAAATTAGGAACGCAGGGAATCAGATTGCCACCTACAGGAAAATTTAGCATTTATTGTCAAGTATGATTCAAAAAGAATACGAATTGCCATCCTGCCAAGCACTCTTTCAGTTTTAGTTACTATTTCAAAACCAATTAGTATTTTCTTTTGTGCAGCTATATGATGAACTTTCTAAATCCAGAAAGCCATTAACATTTCTTTTTATTTAAGAGAGTATTGCTTAAAAGTTCCATAATTCAACTACAAATCAGCAGATTGTAATCATGTTCCAGTTAAAGAATATTAAGTCTGCTTACCTGATACAATCGGTGCTAGCCTGAATATGTCTGATAGTCTGCTGTTAACTGGCTCATAAGGGGAATCTTCAAGCAAGTCATTTCCTAAAGACAAAAAATATTTGGATATTTTTCTTATACGAGAATTCAGGATAAGATTCCGTTGTTTACTTTTACTCTGAAACGAAGTTACTCTGTAACAGCAAAAGGTATTCCCCTTTAATCTGTTTATGTAGCTATTTCCCCTCAAAGCATTATCTATAAAAACACCTGAAAGCAGCTAGGCATTTATCCCGGATGCTAGTTCTTTTCTCTCCTTCCTCCATGGATAAGGTCATAATTTGCAGAGACAGCCTGTGACATCACAGGGACTGTCCCACCTCATGCCAGCAGGAGAGAAGCTGTAACAGGGATGTTCCTCTTCATTCACCTTAACAGCAGAGCTGTTTTTTAGAAGAGCAGCCCAGGTAACAGCCAAAAACTAGCATCTTCGGAATAAAACACTCCTAATAAGATGCTGTTGGAAGGGAAACTTTTCATGATGCAGAAAAAGTCCAGGAGTAGTGTAATTCATTATGGAAGTTAGAACAAAAATATATATTGACTCATTAAAATGTTCCAGTTGATGCCTGGATAAATGAACAGAAAGGGATGACTTCCCTTTTTGCAGAAGCAGCTACAGAAATGAGTTAAATGGGGACCACACTGAAGTGAAAGATTGCACCTGCAACTCCAGGGCTAGAGCAAAACAGGGCTAAAAATGATATATAAGGACCTGACTGGTCTCAGTAGATGATGGGAAATTTGCCAGTGACATCAAGAATAGAAGTCCCGAGTCAATCACTGTAATATCCCTTCTAACTGGCACTTCTACATGCTCTAGGAAGCACAAACTTCTTTTTTTCTGCCTCAGCATGCCCAGGGAATATTGCTAGTAAATACAGGAACAGAAAGAATAAACTTTTCCTTAAAACAATGCTCCTCTTCATATTAAATTTAACTTTCAGCAAAGAGCTAAGAAACTAGTTCCAGTGTCCTGTGATCTTGTTAGGTGAGTCCTAATTAAGGAGTTTAAATATTATTAGGAAAATGTCTCCAAATGATTGTTTTTGTAGCTTTTGCACTTGCTAGTGCCCTTATCTTTTGACTCGGGTTTAGAAAGGTCAGCTGGGTCCCCTGGAGGAAACCCTCATTGTGGATTTCCCAACAACAGGAGACGGAGCAGCAGCTGTTCTTGAGTCGGATGAAAGGTCCTCAGTTTGCAGCTGAAGAGCACAATGTGAATTATGGGGTCAGACCCTCGGTCTAGCCTCACTGGCAGTAGCTAGCTGCGGATGTGAGGGGCTGCAAAACCACACACTGCATTAGGGGAGTGTAACGTTTCTTTGTTTTGCAACGTACCCTGTAAGCTCTGGTACATGCTCCAGTAAATGCGCAGGCAGTTTTTCTCTTTCTTCATGCCCCTCTTACAGCGGCAGTTGTACAGAGATTTCTGCTTGAGAGCTTCCATGGCGCTTTTGCATTCATCCTTTGCCTCCAGGCCTGTCGCCCGGCTGAAGTTGCTCTCTTTGCCGGCTACACACTGCCTCAGTGTCCTGTATTTAGTACTACAGCTCTGCTCCTTGAGACACTGATCGCTGGCTTTCACACAGTCAAGGCGGTCCCCTCCAGGCAGCCCGCTGACTTCTGCGGACAAAAGTACATCTAGAGAGAGGAGACACAAACCAACAAACTCTCGTTGAGGGATGAGGCTGATTTAACCGGGGCTCCAAAGCAGGCATCTGGAAAGCACAAGGCACCTCCTCACGCAGCACATGCAGCCAGCCCCACCGGCAGCACCTTGCAAACCTCAGGGCTTCATGCTACACCTTAGGAAAAAGCACACAGGGTTTTCATGGTCTTTAGATCCACTTTTGTGGGAGTCCAAGGAAACAGTACGTTTTAACCCTGCTGGTTGATTTATGAGAAAACACAGAAAGGAAAGAAAATCCACAGGGGTTAATGTGCCTGACAAAACAAGCATTCATTTTTCCTTAGATCCACTTTGGTGAAACAAATAACCTTTCCATTCGAGTGCTTAACTGAGGGGTTAAATATTCAGCCTCACTTTCCACAAGAGCTTTGCTGTAATTTCAATTACATCCACGAACAACCCGCTCCGAGAGATAAGTATCCTCACTGATTGATATTAGCCTCTTTTTGTGTCAGTCACTTTTTAAAGGCTGTACACATTTTTGCTTATTCTACATGTATAAAGGTAGAATAAAAAAAAAAATTTTGTCCCCCCCCCCCCCCATTTCTCTCCACGTATAATGCTTTTGCAGGAGAACAAAGCAAATTACATTAACTCTCTCCTCTCCATCGTGCCCTCTGTCACGCTGCCTCAGACACACACAGATGGAAACGCAAACATCTCCTGTGGAAAGGAAACCAGTTTGGACTACAAAGCACTCGCAGTCGGGCAGGCTGCCAGGTTCAGGTGAAGATGTAATCCTTCAGCTGGCTCTTGTCACACCACACACCCCCCACGCCCCCCAAGCAGCCTTATTTTATTAAAATGAAAAGTTTCCCTGTAACTTGCAAGAACCCGATTTAACAAGAGGCTACGCAAGCAAGTATCTAAGTCTGTAATCTCCCAGAGCTTTAAACGTAGACTGGGTTAACTGATGTGAGGCAGAGCCGTAAAAACTACTGGAAACTTCACTATTCTGCCTAAACAATAGACTGACAACCGTCAGGCATCCGATCCCATAAACCCTATGATTTGCTTTATGAAGCGATGTACAGAGAGAAATCAGATGCCAGCAACTTACCCACTAAGGGCAAAGCGAAGTACAAGATAGTGAGAAACATCTTGCTGTCTTCAGATGGTTTCCCCAAACGAGCTGATGTGCCACAACAAAGAGGATCAGCATGTAGATATTCCAAAACCGCCGAGGTCCAAAGACTCCAAGTTCAGATCCATTGAATTCAAGGGGGGGAAAAAAAACCCAAAACCCTCTCTCCACCGCTACCACCACCAGCGGCAGGAGCAGCGACGCAAACGCTGAGCTTTTTCCCTTAGATTTCAGGTCGGAGCAACCTGAAAACGCAAGCACTGACTTCAGTGAGGGAGCGAGAGAGGCGCACGCACGGGCATATGTGTGTGCGAGTGAGCAGGCAGGAGCGGGGCAGGAGCGCCGGTCGCCTCCTTGGGTGGGCAGCGCCTGTTCCCAGGGA